TGCTCCTTCTGTCGACGTTTGCTCTTATTGATATTACCATTCTCCGGCTCATTCTAAACTTTTTTGGGGGTGAATAATAGTCTATTCAAATGGTGTCGAACACATTCGGAACTCACAACCATATTGAATATCTGCTGCATCAAAGATGCCAGCTGCTTCAACATTATTCGTGGGTTCTCCTCCACACACACTTCAATAAAATCTTTGTGTCGTGAATTGATGTTCTGGGACATTTACATTTGCAACTGGGTTGTACCAAAATTGTTTAGTTTATATTTGAAATTGATTAGTCCAACTTGAAATTGTTTACTATCAATTTGAAATTGTTTAGTCTCAATTTGAAATTGATTAATCCAACTTGAAATTGTTTAGTATCAATTTGAAATTGTTTAGTCTCAATATGAAATTGATTAATCCAACTTGAAATTGATTAGTATCAATTTGAAATTGTTTAATCTCAATTTAAAATTGATTAATCCAACTTGAAATTGCTTAGTATCAATTTCAAAATGGTTTAATTTCAATTTGAAATTGATTAATTCAGCTTGAAATTGCTTAGTATCAATTTGAAATTGTTTAATCTCAATTTGAAATTGATTAGTCCAACTTGAAATTGTTTAGTATCAATTTGAAATTGTTTAGTCTCAATTTGAAATTAATTAGTCTAACTTGAAATTGCTTAGTATCAATTTGAATTTGTTTAGTCTCAATTTGAAATTGATTAGTCCAACTTGAAATTATTTAGTATCAATTTGAAATTGTTTAGTACCAACTTGAATTTGTTTAATTCAACTTGAACTTGATTATTCCCGACTTGAACCTGAAATTCTATAGAGTAAACTGTAACCGTGCCTGTCTAAAATAAGCGCTGAAATAAGGAAAAAAATATAATCGTTGATAGACACGATTATTACAGATCCGTGAGTAATCAGTCGCATTCAGACAGTATTTACGGTGAGCGAAGGACCTCTTCTGTGACAATCAGTCTTCTTCTCTTTTTCTTTCATGTGCTGTGTTTCTTCTGGATTTTGGCGATCATGACTCTCCACAGTTTCATACTCCTCGTAGCCCCTAACAACGTTTGTACGCTAAGACTGCCTTCCACCCGCTCCACCATCCATACACACAAGCTCATCAGGTAGGTACCACACAGCTTTCACCTCTCCCATCTGCTGTTGTATATCCCCCTCATGCTGGGAGGTTTTGGGTGACGGAGTCAATTCGATAATAAAGTTGCATTTTTCTCTTGCAGGCAGAGGTCGCTACTCATTTTGAGTCCAGAAATAAAAAGAACTTCAACACAGGGAATGTTAACTTTACTATTTTATCAACGTTCAGGTCGACATGTTCTATCTATCCAGTGGGGGGGGGGGTCGTTCCTCCTAATTGAGGAGCCGTTTCAGACACGAGAGTGAACACGTCTACATTGCTTGTCGTGTAACAACCAACTCGCTGAAAAAGACTTTTGCCAGTCTATCATTCCCACGCTAGTTCAGCCAATCAAAATCGACTACCTTATTTTGGCTTGCATCTGACCTCGAAGATCAACCTCCGGAAGTCGTAGCTGAGATACAATTCCCCCTAAAAATCATAGTCTGCTAAGCTATTATTTAACAATGTCCACTGCGTATCAAATTCGCCAAGTCCTACATCTCATTATGGGTTCAGAAATTTCAGTGGTTTCCTTTCTGATTCTTGTTATTGCCAGTATCTTTTTGTACAATTACAACCACATTTCTGTTGCCGTCATTTTCTCTTCATTTCTAGTGGGGGGGGGGATTAACCAGCATTCACTGCCATACAAGAGGATTGTTATTACATAAGCGTTCAACACTCTTTTCTTTGCTTGAAACGAAATTTACCTGTTTTCTTAGTAATTTACTATTCCAGTGTATGTTCGGATTTTGGTAACACATTTTCTATCTTCCTATTCTAGATTTTACCAAATACGAATGAAAAAGACATTTGCTTAAGCGTTGTGTCTTGCTACTTGTAAAATTCTGGATAGTTCAGTTGTATGAATAATAGGCAGGACAGGTTAAAGAAAGCAGAGAACAACGAACAAATACGTCACCGGAAAATTACTGAGTGCTGTGATGTCGTTTCTTTCGAATCGCAGGCCATAATCAGCAGTTGGAGAATGTTGACTAACAATGGCTGAACGTGACAAAGGATCGGTTGAATCGAAAGCCGAAAGCTGAATGTTTCGACTAACAACCTCAAGGCCAGAGATTTCATCAGATTAATTCAATAGATCTGTAATGTCGTTTATCGTCAGAAGGCAAAGACCCGTTGAGCGGCTGGTGATATTTTCGCCTTTTTTCCTTCAAGTTTTGAATTTAACGGACGTTATATTAGTGCCACAAGAAAATTGACTCTATAGAAAATTTTAGAAATTGGAAAATACCTAAGCTAGCATATAAGGATGGTCCAATTCTGCTCCACGACAGGTCACTTCCTCGCACTTCACCGCGCCCCATTGAAAAGCTGCACAGTCTTGATGAGATTTTCGGGCATCAACCTTATTCAATAGGCGTATGTAATGTTTATTATTTATTTAAACACACTTTCTATACGCAAAAGAAGATTCTGGTATACTGGAGAAGTAGTCGAAGCATTTGAAGAATTTATTAAGGCAAAAAACGAAGATCTGTCTAGATTTCTGCGATGAAGTATTATTACACTATTTACATTATTCGGACTATTGTCCTCATCTTTGCCGCCATTTTTATTACAACGTTTCGGCCGTTGTACGCTCTGCTCTTCTTCAGGAGGTTGGAATGTCGAACTGAATCCTTTATTTCGCTCACTGGGGTAGACTGTTCTAGTTCCACGTGCCATGTTTAATGGATGTCAGTTATCTCCTCCTGTTAATTCCTCTGCAAGTACTCCACTGACTTAACCAGGTATTGAACTCGAATGATAAAGGCGTTGGTTACATCGGGAGGACAAGACCCAAATTGTGTGAGTTCAATACACCCCCACCCCATATATATATATATATATATATATATATATATATATATATATATATATATATATATGGTGGTGGTGGGCTCTCCTGTCGTATTCGACTGGAGACTCCCACCACCACTATATATATATATATATATATATATGTGTGTGTGTGTGTATTCGAGGGTCAAGCAGCTCGGTCTCTAGGAACCGACAGCCCGGACACCGGCACATGTGATTTGACTATAGTGGTGAAGGTTTTGTGCAAAACCAACCACACATTTTGAAGGGCCGAATGCAGAGACAATACGTGCCACAAACGACCCTCCGAGGTCAGAGTTGTCTTTCTCCTAGACAAGTTGCCATCCAAGGCTATAAAACACAGTCTGTTCTGCTGTTTACCTATAGCTGGAGGGAGAAGAAGAGGATTAATACCTTTCCCAAGGGTATTATCACGTAAGTGAATGTAATGAATTCGACTGGAACTACCAATTCCTCAATGTGAGCCGCTATCCACTACTTCACTGTAGTGGATAGCGGCTCAGATATATATATATATATATATATATATATATATATATATATATATATATATGTGTGTGTGTGTGTGTGTGTGTGTGTGTGTAAAAAATATACAGAAAATAGGAAAAAACTCGTTAGGTAAATAATCCAAAGTTCCTTAGTATTTTTGTTATTATTTTAAAAAAAATAGTGCTCGATACAAAAGTAGATCATAAATATAATTATTTATTTAAAAATATGATTCCAACGCTACATAAGATTTTCATGTTTCAAAAAACAAGAGCCGAAAACTTCAATATAATTATTTGAATTAAATTGAATTAAAGTACCAAGCTCTGTTCCATCTTCATGCGAAATTTTTTGAATATATATATATATATATATATATATATATATATATATATATATATATATATATATATATTGAGGCAAAAAGTTGCGCACAATAGTGGTTAATATGAATGCTGTAAAATGACAGAGGAAACTCTTTGGCATGTTAATGAGTCATGCAGGCACAGAATTGAAATGTGTTTAGAAAAAGAATGACGACATTTTGAACAGCACTTATAACAATTAGATAACTCGTAAATAAAATTTTCATGTGCAGTTATGCTTTTAATAAATTATCCTTTTTGCCTCAACCTTTACATTATTATTATTATTATTATTATTTCTAGCGTTTACACATTTCTTTCCGGCCCAGGGACTTAAGGTTAGAAATAGTATCATGACACTTTCCACTGATAAAAAAAAAAAAAATTACATAGACAAAACCCTTCGTAAAGTGCGGGTTGTACTTGTCAGAACAATTTTTTGTATCTCTTTGAGGCATGGATTTTCAGGAATCCCTTCAATTAGCCTACTGGAATCTTTTCCAACCCATCCTAGGGCTCTAACAGGGATTGTTGATGTTCCCATGTGCCACATTTATTATTATTATTATTTTTTTTATTATTATTATTAGACTATATACTATATATAGTAACAGGCGATTTAATTAACAAATGCTCTTTATTCGAATTTCTAAAAAAATTTAAGGTAAAAGACGAATTTTTTTCTAACAGGATAAACAGCTTAGAGTTATGCAGAACAAAACGGATTTTTTTTGGCTTAAATAAAAGTGTACTTTGATTAAATGAAAGGTTACTTTTTGTTATTCATTCAAATACATTTAATTTGAAACGGCATATTTTCAAAGTAACGTTCTTTTATCATTTTTATCATAATTGTTTTGTAGGTCACACTTTTGGAAGCGCGGGTCAGAATACAGTTCACAGGCTTAAAATAAAATCGAAACAATGACAACCTAGACGATTTGTGTGTGTGAATCACTTCTTTCTGGTCAAATTGCAGATCGCTGTTAGGCAAGGGAGATTGCTACTCAACTTGGCTCAAACTGTTAAAGGTCGTAGCAATTCACAAGATAGGTGACGAAACTGTGATTTTAAAATCGACTAAAATGTGAGAGGTATATTTCGCTCAATGTGGCCATTATATAGCAGACTAATTAACATGGAAGCTCTTTAATAACACAAGAATAGATAGATAGATAGATAGATAGATAGATAGATAGATAGATAGATATGAACAGACGGAGATAGATAGATAGATAGATAGATAGATAGATAGATAGATAGATAGATAGATAGATATGAACAGACTGAGATCGATCGAAAGATAGATATGAACTGACTCAGATAGATAGATAGATAGATAGATAGATAGATAGATAGATAGATAGATAGATAGATAGATTTGAAGGGAATGTGCTTGATAAGAACGGAAATAGAATTAAATAAAGAAGGAAAGAAAGAATGAAAGAAAAAAAAAGAAAGAAAAAAGAAAGAAAAGAAAGATACAAACTGCGTGAGAACTAAGATAGATAGATAGATAGATAGATAGATAGATATGAAGGGGATGTGCTAGATATGAAATGAAATAGAATTAAATAAAGAAGGAAAGAAAGAAAGGAAGAGAAATAAAGAAAAGAAATAAAGACACACACCGTGTGCGAACCTAGATAGATAGATAAATAGATAGATGGATAGATAGATATCAACGAAATGTTCTAGATATGAACTGAAATAGAATTAAGTAAAGAAAGAATGAAAGAAAGGAAAAAGAAATAAAGAAAGACAGACACTGAGTGCGAACATAGATAGATAGATAGATAGATAAGGAACAGACTGAGATAGATAGATAGATAGATAGATAGATAGATAGAAAGAAAGAAAGAAAGAAAGAAAGAAAGAAAGAAAGAAAGAAAGAAAATGTGGTGCTTCATTTTGTGGTCGATTGATTTCAGTTAATCTGTAATATGACCTGCAAGGCACGGGAAATGCTCTGGTAACTTGACAGATGACGGGACTGAAACATCTGTTCGAATTCCCTAGATTTTTTAGGTAGCACCTTGCGCCTGATAAGTAGAGTCCAACGTATTATTAAATCTATCACGAATAAAATCAAATCTATTACGACTTTCAAAATTATATATTAAAATACACTCATGTTTATTTTATCATCACACACACACAGTCACACACACATACACACAAACATAGTCTGTGACATATAGAGAGGTAGTTGGGCATTTAGGTAGCAATCCCTCTCTAATACATGCTTCATTAAATTTACTGGCTAAGTACTTCGGTTGATTTTTTTTTTATTGCTATTTCTCCTGCATGGACAAAAGATTGTCAAAATGAGTACGTATTACGAGCGGTTTCGGCTAACCTACCCATCATTTTCAATGCTTTTTGTTGCGGTATTGCAAACTATGCGTAAGCTGCTAAAAATGTCATATTTTTAATCCCTTCAATATGAATAATGATGATTTTAATTAATGAACACAACCAGTACATAATGGCCGTGTTCGTAGTTGTTTTTGTTATGCGTTATTTTTCTAGTTTTATTTCGTTTTTGATTTTTAATGAAGAAATGCTCTGACCAGTGACCTAAGGTTAGAAATGGCATCATGACACTTTCCACTGACAAAAAAAAAAAAAAAAAAATTAAATTACATAGATAAAGCCCTTCGTAAAGTGTGGGCTCTACTTGTCAGAACAATTTTTTGTATCTCCTTGAGGCATGGACTTCCAGGAATCCCTTCAATTAGTCTACTGCAATCTTTTCCAACCAGTCCTAGGGCTCCAACTACAACAGGGATTGTTGATGTTCCCATATGCCACATTTTCGAGATTTCTATTTCAAGGTCCTTGTATTTTGACAACTTTTTGAATATCTTCAAAGATACATTGCAGTCAGCAGGGACTGCCATGTCAATAAGGAGGCACCGTTTTTGTTTGTGGTCTTTAATAACAATATCTGGCCGGTTGGCCTTGATTGTTCTGTCAGTGTGTATTGTGTAGTCCCATAGAATTGTAACAGGTCCTATCTCCGTAACCGGGTCTGGGTGGGGTTCATACCAGTTTCTTTCAGTTTCCTTCCCGTAGAAGTTGCAGATTTTCCAGTGCAGATATTGGCCCACTCTGTTATACTCTGGCCCGGATATGACAGACCACTGGTAATACCGCCCAGAAGCAAAGATACCCAGTGTATCAGTTAGTAGGTAATCATGCCCAACTGGTTAAAGCCTGATGGGGTATTTACTGTACCCTAACTTAATTCACCAAAATGCAACATACAATCAATTTTTTTTATCATTTCACCCCAAGCAAGGCGATAATGCCACTAAGACGCAAGTGGTTATTGGGAGCGAAAGAGAATGAGAAAACTTAAGTGAGGGAGAAAGAACAATAAAAGAACAGGGTTTAGAAAGAGAGAAGTTGGAGCCATTTAGATTTTAGAAGATTGTAGTTGACAGGGAAGAAAGAAACCTAAAAGATAATTCCAGAGATCAGAAGTACGAGAAAATAATTTATTAGAATAGAAACTATGGTTATATCTAGTTAAAACTGGGAATTTATCATTAATATCATTTTCTTTCCGGGTCCCAACCAGAGACCTAAGGTCAGAAATGGCATCATAACATTTTCCACCGAACAGTTTTGAAAAAAAAAATCACACATATTTTACATAGATAAAGCCATTCGTAAGGTGTAGGCTGTAATTGTGAGTACAATTTTTAGTAATTCTTTAAGGCATGAGCTGCCAGAGATTCTTTCAATTAGTCTATTGGAATCTTCTCCAATCAATCCGAGGGCTCAAACTACAACAGGAATGGTTGATGCCTTCATGAGCCACATTTCTGAGATTTCGATTTCAAGGTCCTTGTATTTTGATACATTTTTGAAGATCTTCAAAGATACATTGCAGTCTGCTGGGACTGCCATGTAAATAAGGATACGCATTTTGTCTTTGCTGTCTCTAATCCTAATTATTATTATTATTATTATTATTATTATTATTATTATTTGTTGTTGTTGTTGTTTTATTATAATTTGCTCACATCATAGATTTAAAATTATGACTGGAAGTAAATTTTAATATTTATTAGAATCTATGTGCACAGTTGTACGAAAATATTATATGTAACACTGATAAACATTCTTAGAGGAACCTGTTCTGTAAGAGTAAGTGTCGTTGCCGACACTGTGGTTTGAACCTAGATCGCCAGGGAGTTACACGGGCGATTCCATTATAAAGTAGATCACGTGACCATAAAGGAAGTGAATAAATAGAAAGTATCGTGATGACTATACGATTACTGTTCACTCTTGATCACAATCCGGTTTAGTGCGCTGGTCTACCTCTCTGCCTCCGGACAGAGAGGATCCCCAGACGAGGCTATGTCGAAGGACAGAGTCTCGTCTCGGGAGACAGCTACCCGACCTTGTTTTTTACGGGGTCTACCGGGAATTTTTGACCGAACCTACGGGCTTGGATACCCTACAATAAACTCGGCCATGTGCCACATCCGACCGCGTGGGGCAGTTAGTGAATATCACATTATCCGGATTACTTCCGAGTGTGCTGGTCGAAGTCACTGCCTCTGGGCAGTGAGGAACCCCAGACGAGGCTTTATCGAAGGGCAGAGTTTCGTCTCAGGAGACAGCTACCCGACCCTGGGGTCTATGGGGAATTTGGGGCCGAATCATCGGGCTCGGATACCCCACAATAAACTCGGCCTTGTACCACATCTGACCGCGTGAGGAGGTTAGTGAGTATAATCACTGTTCGCTTTTCTTGTCTATCCATTATTGCTATACGTTCACACTCTATACTACTATACGGATTAAGATTCTCTTCTGGTCATTATACAATTTGATGATTTGACTTGAACGAGTATTACTAATGCGGATATTATTGGAAAGCGATACTACTAGTACCGGCTTCCATGAATTCTCGAATATAACGAGCATTTTTGGAAGTGATAACGAACTTTCGCTTGACATAATAAAAGTGACAAGCGAAGCCATCCAACATTACAAAAGTATCATTATCCATAGACTGCTTGGTGACTCTTTCTTTTGGGCTTTGTACCAACCCAATATGTAAGGTCATTTTAACTGTCATCCGCCACTCTATATTAGAAGCTTGATGCTGTCCAGATGCCATCAATGTTCACGCATGCGCAAAAACAACTTCCAACGTAAATTCCTTTTTTAAACAAGATGGCCACTTGTGATAAAAATAGATTTACTATGAGAATCTAAACCAAAGAACATGCAAATGGTTGCACCCATGACGCCTTTCTAAACGTGGCTACATTCAAGACAGATACTTGCAGATTCACGTATAACTCATCAAAATGTCTATTTTATCATTTTAGTGCAAACCATACGCATGATTATCTTTTTAACTATTCAGTGAGATTATTTTTCCTGTTAGACGAATATACAACAGAAATGACTCAATAACAGTTGAAACGTCGCTGAATATACGATCAAAATCTAAACTTCTAGCAATGATCAATGTTTTTATTTAGACTCAAGTATAAATACAAACATTGTTTACCTAGAGACTCAAGTATCAAGCCGACCAATGCTTATCTATAGACTTAAGTATAAACCTGATCAGCGCTTGCCTGTGGCTCAAGTATAAAATCAACTAACGTTTACATATAGACCCAAGTATAAATACGACGAATTTTTGCATACAGACTCAAGTATATATATGACCAATGTTTATATATAGACTCATATGATAAATAAAGAAAAAGTATAAACACGAGAAATGTTTACATATAGACTAAAGTATAAACACGACTAATGTTTACCTATAGATTCAAATATAAACACGAACAATGTTTACATAGAGACACAAGTTCCAGTTAGTTTCATTACATTCACTTATGATTATAATTGCAATTGCGAAAGGTATACGTGCCTCATTTATAAAGTTATAAGCACGCCGCGATAGATAGATAGATAGATAGATAGATAGATAGATAGATAATGAATAGAATTAAATATAAAAAGACTGAAATAGATAGATCTGATGAAGCTGAGATAGATATAAACAGGGATAGATGGATAAATAGATTGATAGATAAATTTGTATAATCTGATCAAAATCACAAAACACTTTGCCGAAATAAGAAATTATCAGTATTTTAGAGTATATTGATCATTTCATTCTTGGAATATATGCTCATTAAATAGATAAATATATAAACAAATAAGCAAATTAAACAAGTAAACATCTAATTGGGAATAACAACAGTTGATTTTCGTTGGGCATAAGTTTTAAGCTGCAGTCAACGCGGTGTAGCACGATATATAGGAATGGTAAAGTATTGTTTTCAAGTCTAGGTAAATCAGTATCATTGGGATAATAACATCAATATATCGGAAGTATGCAAATTGTGGAGTTACCCCACTTATTTCTCTAAAAAACGCCTCTAGGGGATGCTCCCTATGCTTATAAACAGGTAGTGATATTCTCTGTCATGCTATTTTTCCTATTTCACACAGGGACTGTAAAATGTAGGTCGAATGAGGAAAACACTTTCTCCACTCGGGGAACGCACACGTGCGCGCATTAGTTTAAATGTTTTCTTCTTTCATGATCATTGTTTTGTAACATGTAACAATTTCCTATTGTCTATGTAAAACCATCATTTCGTTAATAGATACATTGTATCTTTTAAATATAATTTTATTGCTGCTTTGTTATTTTATTACCCGGACTAACATTCGAGGCCACCATTTTTGTTGTGGGATAAATATACCAGGAGACAGGTTTTTTTTCCTACCCAAACACAACCAGCATTGCCTGCAACAAGGTAATTTTTTTTTAAAGTTCAGATTTCTAAGAAAATACACGTCATCTCTCCACTAAGAGGCGATCCCATTGGTAATGTAAATTTTTGTTTATAAAAAT